TCATTGTGGGAAAATTCTACTACCAGTCCTTCATCACCTTACACGAAATAGGGCGAATACATCTCATAACTTTGTTGCATCTAAAATCACACAAAAGAATGTGATATGCGAAAATGCCTGGCCTTCATCGACATTCACATGTGCCCTGTGCGCCTATGGGACTCGTGGCAATGTGGCCGAGTGGGTGACATGTCAAGCTCACATGCCTCACTGTCACGGTTCGACTCCCAATTGAGTCCACTCCAATCCGGAGGCGAATGCATTTTTGGACAGCAAGGCTGTGTGAAATTGAGTGTGAGTGTCAGCTCGGCTCATATGATTGTGGGAAAATGCAACTGCTCATGCTTTGTCAGCATAAACTGACTAGGACAAGTACATTCCAAAGAAATGAAGAGATAGTCGAAGAGGCGATGAGAGTCGAGTAGAAGCGTAGTTGCTGGACGTCTTCAAGCAGATGACATGGTCAGCTTTCGGCGGCTTCTCTCTCCGACATGCACGAGTCGTGAAAGGACTGGTTTTAACACCGAGACTTGAAGACTTCGCCATGCCACTTACGATAACCGCCAGCATCGGTACCAACTCAACGAGTCGAGTGAGAAGATTAGCATGACTCCTCGGGCAGAGGACGAGAAGGTGGGTTGGTACACTCCACCAGGTCTCATTGTGGCTCTGAAAGAGTTGCAAAAATTGCGCCTCTGAAAGTTTTGAACTGGGTTGAACTGCGTTGCGCAAGTTGGGAGCACCAAGCAAGTCGCCATGACAACAAGACCAAGTTCCGAAAATGAGGTCAACTCACTTTTATGCATCTTCTCAGAACTATTTTGTCCACTTTTCCTGCGGATAATTGGGCAAAATGAGCAGGTCAGGTTGCCATTTCACCTTTTCGTGTAGAATCACTCTACTCACCGGCTGGAGAGCCGGCTTCTGGCCATTTGGAGGGGACTTTCGGTGCACCAATCGGATTCGTGTGGCAAGGACTGGTTCGGAGACATGCCAGAATGCTTTCAGACTCCACATTTTCGACAGCATGTACCATTTTGCAGCGAAAATGAAGCCAAAGACGAAGCCTGCATAGATCATCATGACCTGTAGAATGCGTTGCCAGTTGATTGTTTTTTTTTAGATACTCACAAGTTGCCTGAGGCAAGTTTGGAAAGAAGCCTCGATTAGTTTAGCATTTTCTGCAACTCTGTTCTTACAAAAGGTTCCCAACCAAAATTAGGCTGCAATTTTCGGTTTGAACCTGGCCTAACTTTCATTTTATATGAAAAAGCATATGAAGGGGATACGCAAATTAGCATCAATGAATGCCGAAGGAGGGTTGTCTTGGATGTGTTGCAATTGAATTTGGCGGAGAAGATCTCTGCTCACCGTCCTGCGATCCCGATCCATCAGCTTTCGTCCGTGCCTTGATACAATTTAAGCAAGACTACCATATCAGAGCGGATTTGTTAAAAGTTTCGAGTACTACTGAATTTTTCTATAGTAATATTTCCTACTCTAAAGAAACTTATTATTATCACCATAAATATGTATTTTTTGTGTAGCTTGGATCCTTGAGGGATGTTGCTGAGTTGTTGATCTGGAGATGCATGGGGTATACAAAATTTTATTATGTCCCTTTAAAGCAGCTGAAAAGCCATGGACAAGGACGAATATGCAATTCGGGCTTAATGAAAATGGTATTTCATGAAGTATGCACACATTAAAGGTAATGAATGACAAATTAAAGCCTTCTGCTCGGTTCACTCAATTAGCTCAGAAGTATGATTTTTCTCTCACTTCTTCATATAAACTGTCATTTTTCTCAATTCGCCTTGTAAACCTCTATGGCACCCTTTTGTAGATTCCGTTGAATGGGTAGTTTAAAATGGCAACTCTTTGCTGAATGTACGAAGATAAGATGGATTTCGAAGAAATGTTTATCTCACTTTTGGTTCGAGTGAAAGCTTGAGTGATAAAGAGATTCGAGGCTCAATCCTCTTTGTCAGTTGTCATCAGTTTTCTTAAAGATGGTTTTGAGAATGACACGCTGCTCAAA